ACCTGAGAGAAGAGGGATATAAAGCTTTGAAAGTAGTTTGGGACCAGATTATTAAGAGTGTTGTATGCCATAGTGAGCAATATAGTCTAAAATTTATAGTAATAGCATCTGTGTGATCAGAATGTGTTCCGGAGGCAACATGGAGGAAGACCAATAAGGAAGCTAAGTATTATTTGCCATGTGAAGACACAGGAACTGAAAGCAGGCTAATAATAGTTGCAAGGGAGAAGGGAACATATGTGAGAGTATTTAAAGTGATAGAATCAACTATGGGAGGCCAGGCATAGTGGCTCATGCCTGTAATCCTAGCTACCTGGTGGGTAGAGATGGAGGATTATGGTTTGAGGCCAGCTCCAGCAAAAATATTACCAAGACTCCATCTCAATCAATAAGCCAGGTGTGGTGGTTTGCACCTGTCATTCCAGCTATGAGGCAGACATGAGTAGGACTGGGGCCTGGCAAAAACATAGAACACCCTACCTGAAAAAATAACTAAGGTATAAAAGGGCAGGCGGTATGGCTCAAGTGGCAGTGTGACTGCTTAGCAAGTGCAAGACCCTGAGGTCAAACCCCAGTACTTAAAAAAAAAGAGTCAACTAGATGGGGCAGCTAGAGGGGGAAAAAGGTGAGCTTGGGATGCAAAGGAAAAGAATTGCTAGATGATGAATTAATGAAATAGCAGCGATAACTCAAAAATGAGGAGAAAAGCAAGAAACTGGAAGAGTTTTGAAGGAGTGGTCAACAATGTGAAATACAGTTCTGAAGAGATGACAAGAAGGATGCATCTGGAAATGGATTTGGGAATGGTATTTTACATAGGTAAATCATCACCACCCAATTCTGTTTTCAATCTCTTTCTCTACCTCAAAAAGGTTGTATTCAAAGTCAATGTCCTACCTAAAAAAGAATAAAAACTAAATGTAAAAGAGTTGAAAAGGGTTTGGGATGGTGATAGAGCGATTGCAAAATTCCTTGTGAATTGAAAGAAGATTGGTAGCTTGAGAGACAAGAAAGGAATAACAAACTTGAGGGCCAAAAGATCTTTTCCTTGTCAAAAAAATTCAGCCTATTCACCCTATTCCTAAAGAGTTCAAGTTAAGATTTTGGGTAATGTGGACTTTGAAGTACTGTAGACTCTTCGTTTTGAACTTATGTTGGTCAAACATAGGATTCAATTTTCATTTTGTAAAATACATTAGGTAGCTTAACTGTGATTAAAAAGATAATAGTAACTTCCTATATGCCCAACACTTTGTTCAACATTTTATTTTATCTACATTGTCTTATTTAATCCTAGTAACCTTATGAGGCAAGTTTATGGCCTTATTACATAGGAGAAAACTGAGAGAGGTAAAATATGTGGCCTAAGCGTTTAAAAATAATAGTGGCAGAGTCCAACCTTTTAACTAATATGCTCTACTGTCTTTTAACCATGTATACAAGAAACTGGTTTATATATCAAACTGTATCCCATTAGAGAACACCGAATCATTAACGTACACTGCTTTGTTCATTCGCTTTCTTTTTACAACCCTCAGGAATGATGCTTCCTCTGTCACCTCCTTGCCTATGTTTCAAGTTCTTATAAATGTGTGTCATAGATTATGAAGGTTGTAGCTCTGCAGGGGTCTTTCAATAAATTCATGTCTGCACATGTTGACTCAAGGACAATTGTACAAGCAAGTACATACACCACTTCAACCTGCAGGCTGTGCTCAATTAGACAGTAGGCAAGGCTTAGATCCATCTGCTAGGAGAAAGAACAGTTAGTTGTGCAATAGTGAGAGCAATCCAGAAAGCATGCTTAAGGTGGCTCATTGTGACAATCTACACTCTAGAAGGTTTTAGTGCTTACTCTGCTTTGGCTGCTTCTTATCTGATTTTCATATTTAAGATAGGGACTCTAAATAGGAATTAAACTCTGACACCAAAATTTCCTACTAATTTTCTCCCAGGTTTCTGGTTTCATTTGATTGGAATATGTATAGCCAGAGATTCCAAGGCACACTGTTAATAAACATCTATCATTTGTAGTTATTTATCTGTGTGAATCAGGTTTTTCTGGATACTTTGCAACCAAAATAAAATGTAGGCACAAATTGCATGAACTGAAGCTAGGCTACAAATATCTTTTGTGAAATTTTGGTATATAGCCTCGTTTTCCTAATTGATAGCTTTTATAAAGTGGAGTTTCTCTCTACCAAACAAAAAATTTAAAGCAACTGTTCTAAACCAATAGTTTCTATTACTTGAAACAAGTGTATCTTCATGGTCACAGGATTGTGGTAAGTGAACGTGTGGACACTCAGCACAAACTCCAACAAAAGACAAACAATTCAAGCGCAGGCCCCTATGAGAGTGGGTGAAGAGAGATTTTGTAAACAAACAAACAAAAGACAGCAATGGCTTTTCCGCATTTGGTGGCTTTTCCGCATTTGGTGGCCACCATGTAGTTCATGGCAATGTATAATGAATGAATCAACATTAAACCTCAGTCCTACCTCTCTGTCACTATAATCCAAGATAAATTTTTGACCACATATTAAAAGGAAGTCCTAGGGTTACTCTCAGGAGTGGGTAACGCAAACAACACAGAACTTTGCAAACAAATATTTAATAACATACACGAATGAAATGCAAACTGATTTCCCCCTATGTTGAAAAGTAGTCTCTCCAGGAATTTAAGGGAGAAATGTGACTTTTTTTTTTTTTTACCTAAGTACAGCTTGCTTTTTTGGCTAGTTAGCTTAATGGCAGTATTTGCTGCAGCCATCATCTTGGCTAATAATAAATTTTTAAAGTATCAAAATACCTTTCTAAATGTAGTGTAAGTGAACAGTATTTAGGGCTTTATTCCTATATGATATCCTGAAACACAATAGCCATAATTTGATTCCCAGTGTATTTGTGACTTCATATTGATAGTTAAATAACCATACATTTGTGCATTAATTTTTTGCATCTTGTTAGCATTGACCTATTATAATAACATATATATAATCCTTTATAATCACAGCAACATAAATATTATCTCCATCTTATTATTTCCATGGGGAAACTGAGACTCGGTGAAGTTAAAATAATCTGACCAAGGTCACAAATGTTTTGAATGATAAATCCAGAATTTGATCCTTAATCTTGACTACAAAGCTTGTGCATTTCCACTCAATAAATGCTAAGATGTATGTAGAATGCCTAGCACACAGTAGGAGCTCAACAAAAGTTGATTTTAGTGTCCCCTAAAACTATCAGATAAATGTCCTTAACAGAAGTACAATGGAAATGGTTTAAGTAGGGACGCTCTAATTAATGAATAATCTTCAAATATAAATCATTCATGCAAATGAATCTCATTTGGAAGAGACAAAGTCAAACCCTTGTATTTAGCCAACTGAAATGTAAAGACTAACATTTACTAAGCCTTATTATTCATTATTACTGGCCTTTAGAAACTAATTTCATTCTATTCAATGCATTATCAACCAAGAGAGATACAGCTTGCTACTTTAATCAATATGCTAAATCTAAGAATCACTGCATTTTGCAGCTGGGAGGGATCTTAGAGTTCATCTAGTTCACTTTTATCTCTGCATGCTCTGCCAACTTGGCATCCACTCTGCACACCTATATACTAGCATTTGACATAGAACTTGTGCAAGGTCACAAAGCTGATAGAAGCAAAGTAGGGGCTAAAAGAACTCCATTCTCTGGAGTTCCAGTTCAGTGCCCTTTCCATTATGCCACTCACCACTCAACATAAGTGTTCTCTAGGCAGGGCCAGTCATACTGCTTTAAGAAAAACACAAAACCTCTCATTAAATAGGGAGATTCATTTCTGCAGCGACTGAGTCCTACAAGACTAACCCGTATCTGCTAACCTTTACTTACACCATCCTGGACTCTTTAAGGCTTTATTTCATTTTACCCCCAAGGCAAACCTGTGGATAAGTTCCCTCTTATTATCCCTTCATATCTGACTGGCGAGGGCACTCAGGCTCCAAGACTTCAAATAAGTTACCCAAGGTCACAGGACTAGTAAGCAATGGAGCAGAAATTTGAGTCAAGGTCTGACTAGAGGCGGGGCTCATAACAACAACTACATACTGCTATTACAGGTCTCCTCTTTCTTCTCCCCCAATTCTTTTCTTTGTCCTTCAGGTCCTAAGATCACTATATGCATATGATATGGGGGTACCTACTCACAACTGAGGAGGTTTCTGGAAGGATAACGGAAGGAGGAAAACAGTAACCAGCTCAGCAAATTTAAGAACTACCTGGACTACTTTTGCAAAGTCTAGGCCTTTGCTACATTCATGCGTAATAAATTTCTTTCTTTTTCAGTAAGGATAATAACCTATTTGAGAACCCAATGACCTCAATCAGATTTTTCAGAGGCAAACAAAAACACTGATACCAATCACTTGGACCTGAGACCACTGGGCAGAGAAGAACCCAAGAGCTAAGCAAAGTTTCCACCAAAATTGCAGTGAGGTTAACAGGGTACAGTAACACAATCTTGCACCTGATACCCAGGAAACATGGAGAGAAAAACGGGAAGAGGAGGGAAAAATCGGTTTTTATGCAGCAAAGAGTGAGAACGAGATTCCAGACCATCTTCTTGCCAGTCTTTTAAAAGCCAATGCCCCCACCCCCACCCCCCAGACCCTCCACCCTGGTAATCGAAGACAAGGCACCCTTGTGAAACACCAGGAAAAGGCGACGCAAAAAGCCCTAGCAGTCCTGGATTTGCCAGCTTCTGCACTCAGTTTGTCTTACCCTTTTCCACCAGAGAGGCAAATTTTGAAGGATTTTTTTTTCTGCCCAACCCCCAAACCTGGAACATCTCGGTGGAGGACCTTGCCCCACTCAGTGGGGGCAGAAAGAAAAGGCACCCATTTTCCTTAGGAGCAAGGGGATAGAGAGAAGAGGGCACTGAGGAAAATAAGAGAAACTGGCCCTGACGGAGGTTTGAAGGGGCGCAATTTAGTAGCGGCACTCACCCGGGTGAGACATGGGGATGACCTCATTGCGGGTCCCCGGGAAGTTAAAGATGACGGCTCCAGACGCCCCTCTCTCATAAGCCAGATGGATCTTGTCTGCGAAGGTGCAGCCCCCGCCGCGCTGGATAAGGGCCAACCAGGAGACTTGCACAGTGCTTCCCCAAACCGTGGGCACCGTGAAATTGGTGTGCGGGTTACAGGCATTGAGCGCCCCGGGCCCGTCGGGCGGTACCAGGACCCCGGCCACAGGTTCCAGTGGCGAGTCCTGGCCGTACACGCCCTCCTCGCTCAGCTCCCACACAGTGCGGTTCACTCCGGTGTGCGGAACCCGCCAGGACACGTTGAGGTACGCGGTCCACACTGCTTCGGCCCCCCGCGAAGCGGGGGCAAGCGGACTGAGAGCCAGTAGGAAGCACCAGGCCAGCATTCGCGAGGAGCCACAGCCACCGCGGCTGGAGACCCCGACCCCGGGCGGCGGCCCCATGGCGCGCGCGCTCCGCGGTGCCCTACGGCCTCTGGCGCGCGCCCTGGCGCCGGTGGGCCGACCCCGGCCTGGACCAGGTGCGTGCCAGGTGGGCTCGGAGCCGGCGCGCGGGGAGCGAGCTTGGAGCCCAGAGGCACCGAGCGTCCGGAGAGAGGTCGCCGCAGACGCCGCTCCGGAAAGCGCCAGTCCTCCAGGCTAGGGCAGCTGCCGCGTTGGGCTCAGGGGCTTCAGCGTGAAGCTCCGCCCAACCGACTGGGGGTAGAGGTGGCGGGGAGGGAGGAAAGGACACTGCGGGATCCGCCTCTTAAAAGGATGGGAAGGCATTACAGTAGGTTCTGGGGTTGTGTGGCCAGGTGTGTCACGTCATTCCATGAAAAATGCACAGGCGAGGAACTGTAGACTCCAAGATCATCCAGCCTTTCTGGTTGGATTGGAGTCCGTTTGGAATTCCAAGAATACCTCGTCCCCTCCTGTCATTTGTCTAAAGGGCATCTCTTGCTTACAGTGGGAGAATGTGAAAGTACTTTTGAAAAGCAGCAGAGGCAAAGCGTCTGAGTTGTAGAGGAGAGACTTTGGGGAGGTGGGTGGTGCTGGGGGCAGGGAGTGTTTTACTGATTTCTCCAGTAAAAGTACAGGAAAAGGTATGTCATTAGCTTTTTTTTTTTTCCTAAACTGACGCCAAATGGCACCTTTCCCTTTTCCTGCTCCCAATAAGCGTCACAAGTATATGCGGTTTCTTCCTACCCTTATCCCAGGCTGAATAATATACTGCATCAGATGCCTCTTGCAAGTAATCTGGGTTCTCACAAAAGAATGACTATTTACATACACCTCAAAACCAATCCTTCTTTCTTTACCTTCCACAAACCAGGTTTAACCAAACGAATATTCCTGCACCATTCATGGCCTTAACTACATTTCCTTTCTCCATTTCCAACCAAGCCTGACCCACGTGGGCAATTCACCCATGCTACTATTGCATTACTTATTTTTGCTTAAATGTGTAATTTCTGTCTGTCCTGTCAATGGTTACATTTACTAGGCACTCTGTACATTGAAGTAAACTGAATACATCTGGTGTCTGGCAGTTACTAATAACTTGACCTTGAGAGACTGACTTCTTTGTGCCTTAGTTTCCTCCTTCTCTGTAAAGTGGAGATGATAAAAGTGCTTACCTCAGAGTTGTTCAGATGTTTAAATGAGTTCATACTTGTAAAACACTTAGGACAGTTCTTACCAGAATGTAAAACTTACGTTAAGCACTATTATTTTTAACAGGTTCAAGACAATACGAAAATAATCTTAAAGTTGTTACCTTGAGGCAATAATCAGAGAAAATGATGTTTAAGATGTCCAGTCTTAACCACTTTTTTGATTCAAAGAAATATACTCTACTTTATCCAGGCTAACACTTGTTAAATTCCCAATCACTCACTCCCCTCCATCTGTGGTCCTGCATTTACTTAACATTATTCCCAAAGATTAAGCATGGAACAATTCTGTACTTAATATTCTTATGGCCTATGAGAAACCTAGAGGAAAATTATTGCTCTATACCAAACAGCAACTAGAATATAAATAAATGGATAATTTTGTGAAACATGAACCCTGGATATTAATAGAAAGAGATTTTAGGAGTTCATGGGAAGTAGGTATATGAGGCCAGGAGAACAGTACCCCCAAATATTGGTGATATTAATCTTTGAGATTTAAGTTACCAAGAAGAAAACAAATGAGTAGGACCAGTTATCTTTAGGAAATGGTACAATTCCGGAAATTGTCTGGAATTTGTTGGTGAAGAGCACTCAAAAAATTCAAACAGTACTATTACTTAAATGAAAAGCAAATATGACAAAATGATAACTAAAATGTGGAATCTAGATAGTTGGAATATAGATGCTTATTAAACATTTTTCAAATTTCCCTTATATTTTATACTTTTTGTAATGAGTTTAAAATTGCAAATTTATGCAGAATCCAGTGGAACAAATTAATTATATGATTAGATCTAGGTTTAAATAGATCATCTAGATTGTATGAGGGCAGGATGGGTGATAGAGAAATTAGTGGGGAGGTTGACATCCCCTGATCTCTTCTGGAGTTCTAGCCCAATTTTCGAATGGAGGAATCAGACTACTATAGCTTGATGACATGAATTATTAAAATCATCCAATGAACTCCCCTTGTTCTGAGTTCATCCTCACCAAGCAACCTTCTTATTATCATTTAGCTCCTCATGTAAATATGCCTATAGGGAGATAAAGCACTAATCAGTAAACACTAGTATCTGGTCCATTTGGAAGTTATACTTCTCATTATAAATTAATAAACTGGCATTCTGGCTTATGTATTGGTCTCTTGTGAATTTGGTTAACTCTGAGTCAGTTCCCAGGAGCCCAGTCTTTGGTTATACTACCAATCAGATTTCAAAGCTAAGAACCAGATTGTAGATCATGATTACATCAAAGTCTTTCTTCTCTGGGTAACTTGCTGGCTTTCCCTACCATATCCTCTTGTCTTACTGTGAGATATTTTTGAACGACAGTAGAAGCTTTGCTACTAAGGGCCAGGTTTGTTGATCAGGGGTATTCTGCATTCATCTAGAAATGCAGAATCATGGGTCCACCCCAGACCAACTGAATCAGAACCTGCGTTTTAACAGGGTTCCCAGGTGATGTGTATACACATATCAGTTTGAGAAGCCTTGGAGTAGACTAGGGTAGTCCTGACAGACAGCCCGCAAATGGCCTTTGCTTGAACACTTCCAGTGGTGGAGCTCACCGCCTCACAAACCATTGAGCCCTGAGCAGCACTATGTTTGTTTTTCTTGTTGGAATGTTCATGTAAATGTAGTTTGACCTTGCTCCAGTCCCTCCTCTTCCTCCCACTCCCCACTTCTGACTCCAGGCTCTCAGAGTGTCCATGCTACTACTCCCTGGTTATATTAGTTTCCTTGTACCACACCTCACCTGATTCTTGACAAAACAAATTTACTAGTCCTAAATATATTCTCTCATGGCAGTACTCTCTCTAAGGCTGGTAATAGCTGCAGTTCATTGAACATTTACTATGTGTTTTACATACTTATCTCACATAATCCTCACCATCATCTATTATTAACCCCACTTTTGCAGATGAGAAGAAAGGCTCAGGGAGATCTAGCAACCTGTCTAAGTTCATAGCTAGAAACAGAAGCAGAATTCCAATGCAGTTCTGACTCTAAGTATTAATAGCTGATAAGGACTCTCTAGGTTCCCTCTTGAGAGTGGCATGCACATTTTAGCATTGCTTTATACCAAAGAAAGTTCAAGTGAGATATTTCTTGTATGCATTTCAAGCACTGTGACCATTGAGAGAGATATATTTGGGCCAGGAGCCTTTTTGAATTCCTCAAATCCTACCACAAAGGCCAACCCGGCCAAATATTTGAATCAGCAATACCAAACTGGAATGGCCCTGAGCAGTGCACTATCTGATGATGAACTGATAAACAGAGCAGCATCCTGCAGGAACAACAATGGGGCGCCACTGTGGCAGATTAAGTTTCCTATCACATTGAGTTTCTGCAGACGTGTAGAGATGGACGATAGTGTTCAGCCTTTAATATGTCTGAAAAAATGAGACATCGCACCTGGATTCTTACCATTACATAAATGACAAAGCACAATCTGGGACAACTAGAGCCCTGGCATCTCAGTGATGCTGTGGCCACACAACTCGACAACACAGATGAACAGAATGTATAGAGAAAGGGATGTCAATAAATTTCCAGGCAGCTGGTAGAGGGGAAGGAAGAAGAAAATGGTGAGAGTGTGGACAGAAGGAGCAGTCAAACAAAACAAAATGACAAAATGTAACACCCTAGCTTTCTTCCAAATGATATAATATCACTTGCAAATGCAGAAAAACCTGTCAGCTGACATTGGCGTACAGCCATTAGAAAATGGGATTTAAAAAACGCTTTCATGCATCCAAAGAGAGGACAGAGTTTCAGAGAGGAGCTTACACATAGTAGACATGCTGTATCTGAAAATAAGGACAGTCTTCTTATATCCAGCATTGATAACTAAAATTGAGAGCCAATGATGGGCCGGATACTTTATACCTGTAAGTGTTATATGCTATAGCTTGCAGAAGAAGAAACAGGCCTGGGTCAAGTAACTTGTCAAGCTCACCCATGGTAACCAAATGGCAGAATTGGAATTTGACCCCATGTCTAAGTATAAAATTACACTCTTCCTTTTTTTTATCACTTTCCACCCTATATGATACTGTGCTCAAAAATAAATGTAAAAGAGAGGTGGAATAAAGACTTATATTTATTGTGAACCTACTATGTGTTAGGCACTTTGTGAGAATTAATTATATCCTTTGGTTATCACAACAGACAATAATATCATATTATAATTTCCATTTTCAAATGAGGAAAATGAGGTACAGAAAGGTGAAGTATCTTCTTGAAGGTTACACAGCTCGTGAGTGGTAGAGTTGGAATTTCCACAAAGGTATGTATGACTCCCAGTTGCATGCTATTTTCATTCTGTTCTACTAGCTCCTGATATACAGAAAGTATAAAGAATGGGTGCTTTCCAGCCATATTCAGTGACACATTTTAATATACTAAGAACCCCTTCACCAGAGTGCCCTGATGTCCTGCTGAGCAGGCCCAGAAATCCCAGATAACAGAAACTGTGAGAGCACATCTAGTCAAGTGCTGGATAATTATTTATAAATTTCTACACATTCTACTGTACAAGCTCATTCACATAAGTGTGTGGAGAGGGGTGCCTAAACACGTGTTACATGTGGAAAGGCTATTTTGTGCTCACTGTTGGAAAACTGGCATAGCAAGTATATATTGCTGGAGGATATTGCAGAAAACTTGAGCTACATTGTGTGTACTTGGTTGCAACTGGGGAATCAGATTAGCTATGGTGAGTTTAGGGGGGTGATTAAGAGGATCACAGATTGCTGAAGAGAGAGTTAGCATGGGGAAGAGGTCAAGGTATAGGGGCGAGGAGTGGCCTGTAGGGAAAGTTGGGCAGAAGAGGCACTGAAAGGAGCTTTCCTATTCACTGTGGTATCAGGGAGACCTACTTGGGAAACTCAGGTGGTCTCCTGTACTCTGCTCTCATTCCTTTTCTGATTTCCAGAAAGAATTAAATCTATGACCATAGGAGGATTTATATGTGTGTTAGGAAAACAAAGAAAAACAATTACTTGGGGAAAATAGGTGAGG